ACGTACTAATGAAAGAGACGTGTTGGGAAACAATTTGAGATTAAGGGTTGGGTGTCTCAATGATCATGGTGCTAACTCACTCTGATAAGAAATCTTACATATACACATCTATTCAACTGAAGTTTGTGGGTAGCTTCACTAAAAACCCTCATGAGACAACACTCGTCCACTAGGGGAAATCTAGGGGTTTGATGGCTTATTGCATATGATAAATGCAACAGGGTGACCTACGAAAATGACATTGTAAATATAATTTCATTTGGATGTTTTATATTACTAGGGACTACCAATATGCAAATTGGGGGGTGTGATGCATAGTTAAAAGTTACATCTTATTATGCCTTTATGAGATTAATTATGCTTTAATTGTGTTTAAATGATAATATTTCAGGATAAAGAAAGTACAAGGGCTTAAAGGCAATAATGTCACTCTTTCAAATAGCACACATGTTTTAAAAGATAACTCAAGAAGGAGGTAACAAGTTACATGACAAAGTGAACTTTGCTACCACATTTGAATGTCACTTCCACGTTCAAACGCCACATTGAAATCATTCAAGATCTCCAGGAAACTACTAGGGAGATGACACAAGGCTAGTTACTACAGATGACAGGGCTGCATTAACTACCACGTTCGAACTCCAATAGCGTTTGAACGCACTTCAAAGAAGAAATGTTTGTATGTTCAAATACCAAGTACCATTCAAACTTCAATCCCTAACAGTATGCTGCAAATTAGATTTCCATCTAGATTTTCTGGCCTAGGCTTGGACTTTAAGCGCATAGGTCTGTTATGTACCTCCATCCAATGTTTATAAATACCATCCCTTGAAACTTGCTTAGATAGTTCTTTTGGAAATGGAAAAACCCTCCAAAAGTAACTAGTTTTCTTCTACTTTCATCATTAGTTTCATTGGCTTCCCTTGTAAAGCTTCTTTCTTCACTTAGAGGTGTGAACCTCTCTCACCTTTCTAGCTCTCCTGTAGCATCGAAGGGTGGGTTTTGTTTCACTCATTCTTTGTTGGAGATAAGCATATTGTTTTCGTAAACGTTAACTTGTAATTATCAGTTCCTCTACTTGGAAGGATGAAATTCACTCACTTTTCTAACTTTCTCAAAGCCATAAAGAGTGAGTAGTTTCTCATTCATTCTTTAGTGAGAGGTGATGGACATGTATATTATTGTTCGGAAGTTATAATTGTGCATTTCATTTATACTTAATGATTTATCTTTCCTTTTCTTATTGAATGATTGAATGCATATAGCAAAGCTAAAAGAACTTTGTACAATCATGAATCTCTTATAGACAAGTTAATTCTTAACATAGGAAAATGCATTGGTTCTTTGCAAACACTCAAGCTAGGTCTTCATGACAACTTCTCAATCTTCATTGTCATTATGATTTAACTAAGAATGAGATAACTTAACAGTAGCTAGATGATTTGTAGGGTTGGTTGCTTGTTTATAGACGGGTTACGTCCCGACACAAACAATGCTTGCAAATCTCTACAAAGACATCTGAGTCATGCTCTTAATTCACATATTCCATCTTTATCCTCCAATTAACTTACTATTGACACAGGGATTAATTGAGTTGTTTACAAGGCACAAATATAACAATTGGATGAATAAATCCATGTCTAGATCCTCGAGCTAAAGAGTGACTTTTTCATTTAAGAGAATTGTATATTTTGTTTAAAAAATTCTATAATCATCGTAACTTCAAATCTCAAGGGTTTCAGTCACTTTGGTCTCTATCACTTATAACCTTCAAAACACCAACATTAGTTCCTTGTGGATTTGACTCCAGACTTAACTAGATTATAACTACAACTTGACCACCTGCACCTGGGTGTACACATTTCAGATCAAGTCAATGCATATGGAGGTTGAATGATGTTGCTTTGACGCTTGATCTACTTCCTTCAATGACGCTTTCGGATCTTGAACTTGATAGCATCATGACTATGAAATAGGTTGAGATTTATAATGTACTCCACAAAATTAGTCAATTACAAATATGATCTAACAAAGATATTTTAGAATATGGGTTTCTAATTGGTATGATAAAATGTGCCATTTAGATAATTGACTCTATTGGGATCATGTTTGTAATTGACTAATTTCATAAAATTTTATGTAATCTCAACCTAATTCCATAGTCATAAAGTTTCGCAAATTAAGATTTGTAGGTCAAGCTATAATGTCATATCAAGGTTACTTCAATGCACTTGCAAACTTAGAACAGAGGTGATGACTTTAGAATCTATGAAACCCTTGGTTTAATTCAATATACTTAGGGTGACTAGGGAATAAATGGAATTGGAAAAATTCAAATGACTCCTTTGTTTTTCAAAGAAAAGTTTTTGTAAACCTTAAGTGTATTTTGAAACATACATTGAGTTGTTCATCGGATCCCACTTGAGAATACCCTTTAATCTTCAAGGGGTTAAATTTTTGCTTGGTTTTTAGCTTAAAAATCAGTAGGAAGCCCCATCTATTCGTTTGCCTTTGATTAGAGCAGTCTCTGAACACTTACGGATAAAATTGGAAGAGGCTAGCAAGTTAGGCAGTGGAGACCGCCTTCTAAGTCGCTTTTAGGCCTTCGAGCGGTCTTGAGACAACTTGAGTTGTCCCTACTCTTCTGCAATGGTTTAAATTTCTTGTTTATTCCAACAACCACTACCCTGTAACCACCCTCCCACTGTTCAAGTGGTCACTCGCTAATTTTGGTTTACTTGATCACCATGGCAATACCTATTCTGAGCCTATAAATAAAGGGAAGCCTTCTCATGCTAGGGTAAGCCTCTAGCGAGTCTCGTGCATAAAATTCTTCCTCTTAGACATCTTGAGAGCTTATGAACAATCCTAAATTCCTAAATTCAAAGGCTATTCATTTTGAGACTCTAATCCAACTTCACAATTTAGAGAAGATGATCTTGATTGAAGATTCACCAAAACCCACTTTGGAGAAGATTGTTCGAGGCCTAAACAATCAATCGCAATGGAGAGTTCAAATGAATCTATCCATAACGTTGAAGAGAAATTTTTGGTGGAGGGATTTATGGAAGGAAATGAGCATTTAACCATGATATTGGTTAAGATATAGGACTCGAGTACTTGTAGATTGATCTTATGATAGTGGATTAGAATTTGGTGAACCCTGAGTGGTTCCTCTCAATTTTTTCTGGTTGGATTTTCATTGTCAACAATTGATTGTCTCTTATTGCTTTGCATTGCTTATACACTTGCAATTGATGCACACACGCGCAACAAGTGTTTGATTATTTTAACTTTCAATTATTAAAAGTGGTTTTGGTGAGTTTTCCTTGGTTGGGATCATTATGAGAGATTGAGTTTTAATCGAAAATTGAGATATTTGAAACGTGGACCACTAGGCCAAAATAAATGGCCTGAATGTTGAAGGTCTGTCCAATAAATAGCAAGATGCTCCGAAGGCAAAGACATCCCAACATCACACCAAAAACTCCACATCTCTTGTTCTAAATTTAAGTCTTGTTGGTTTTCGTAGATTGTACTAGACCAGCCATTGCTTCAATAAAAAGTTCAATACTTACTTTACCAACTGAGTTTTTATTTCCGTCTTTGTTTGCTTAAACATCAATAGGTCATTTATTTTGGAGATAGATAGGAAATTTAAGTCATTCATTTCAAGGCACAAGAAATCTTCAGCTCCCGAGAACTCTGGCACGCCGCATTGTCAAATTTTAAGCCAACCAGAATGGAATTACTTTCCCCAAAAAACAATTGAAGGGATTACACCAAATCAGCAGTGTTGTTTGACCTTGTAGGTCCAGCAGTAACAGCCGAGAATAGCCCTGAATAAATAGTTCTTGATTATATATCGAGAAACTTTGCGAGTGAAACTGATCAAAAGACATCTACAAGGAAGTTCAACATTGACTACTATCATTGGATCCCAGGAGAAGATAACCTCACAACCCCTAAAGATCCCAGATGTCTATAACCACTAAAGAAACATCAGTACTGTAAGAGACAAAGGTTAGACAAGGAACGTCAAAGACATATGTTTCCAACCTTGTACCACAGGCTGTCTACCACCAGAATCAAAATGATGAATGGAGAATTTCTTTTCATCTGAGAGCACTACAGTCTGATAAACTGAACTGTAGAAAACCTACGGGTCGGCCCAATATGTAGTAGTTAGATAGATAGTCACATTTTTTTTTATTAGTTAGTCATAGATGTCAACTGTATTGCAAATTAATGCAACTTTTCTTCAAATTAAGAGGGATGGTCATGAGTTGGCATTCTGTGCGAGATCACAAACGAACCACCTTTAGTTAGACAATGAAATTCAAAATACAACGAGGTTTTTACCTGAGTAACAAATGCAGTCACGAGCCGGTTGGGAATGTTAAATGACTCATGAACCAAACTAAGAATTGTGCTTTTGACCAATTTGAAAAGGAGAAAGATCACAATGATCTGATATAAGAATACATCTTAATACCAGCTCATGTAATTCATCTACTACTAAATGGACGTCAAATACAAGGTTAAGAATCTGAAAAGATGGAATGAGTACAACAACAATAAACAGAATAAAAAATATTCAATTTACACTGGGTAGTGGTACAAGTCATCCAAGAACTGAAAGCGTATAACACAAAACACCATACATAGGTAAAAATACGTTTTACAACATCATCTCTCTCTCAGCATAGGCATAATCATCTTCCAGGTGAAATCCCCTGACCTAACTTCAGATTCAATTCACATGCGAACCACCACCAACCTTGCTCCCCAGCCAAGAAATCAGAAAACGGGTACAAATACACATTCTCCAACCAAATAAGCTAGACTTTCAACCACAATAATATTGAGATGCCACTTTACTAACAGATCAAATCCTTGTAGATGCTCACGCGTAACGACAGTATTCACACATAAACATGCAAAAAATTCTAATGCACATTTTTCCCCATAAGTCCAGAGTGACTGGAAATCAAAGATCTTCAAGCACAGAATGGTTTGACCTTGAACCTGTAAAGAAGCTTCTTCTTCGACGATGTAGGGTTGTTAACAGTAAGAAGTATCTTACCAAGCTCACTGATGGTGAAGCTGTTACACACCACTGGTTCATCAGTTGGGGCCATCTTCCTTGCCTTGTGTATAATTATGGTATATCCACCTTCTGTATTAGGTACATATTCAGCACTGTAGCTCACTTCCCAGCCCACAACCCGTAGCTCCCAGACAATAACACATCTCTGCAATTCAGCCGTACCCCATTAATAAATGAAACGATGCAGATAAAAATAATAATAATAACAGTACCAACCAACCACAAAAAGGAAAAAAAAAAAAAAGATGTATCCGTAAACTACTGGTTCAAGATATTGAAAGGTAATACAAAGGAAAATGTACCAACTACAAGAAGAATAGAATGCATTGCGACTGCACCTCATTTACTAGGATTTCAACAGTTTGCTTGGTTGCAGGTTTTATGGTAATCACTGTAGCTGGATCATCAATAGTGAATTCTGGGTTACACTCACAGAAATCTACACTCAGGCCACCGTAGTGAATTGGCACTTGCTCTGGAGATATGTATCTGTTTCACCAATTGAATACAAGCGAAATCAATCCCACCATTAAAATAGAGGTAGTAATAAAAAAGGTCACTTTAACAATAATTTCCAATAGACAAAACTGAAGTCTTCACACACTTGAAAAGGGTTTCTGCAGTGCTCTTTGGCCCGGAAAATACAAATTTGCTTTTGGTCCTCTGGGTCATGAATGGACTGATTATCGTGTAGAAAGCTAGATACCACCAAGGAACATTGATGAAGACCTTCAGCACCCCAAAACCACAACATATTTAATACCAAACCAAGCATTTAGACTTGTCCTAATAAGCTCTAAATAGGAATCACATCTAACGGAATCACAAAACATTCACTGACATACAAGAATAAAATTGAAAGGAATCATATAATAAACACAGCAGAATTTAAAAAAATAATAATTTGATTCCTCATACTAAGATCTATTCATGTTTAATACAAACCAAGAAACCTTAGATTTATAGAGAAGATTAAGGGTTACCTCTTGAAGCGTGCCTTTAGCAATTTTCAAATATTCTCAAAAACTTTAAATCTTCAAATTTGAATTTGATCTTTACCCCAAACCTCGTAAACGTTTGACCTTTATCGGTATCCACATGAATTGACAAACTTGAAGGATCTACTTGAGCAATTGATAAAACTAGTAAAGAGAGAGAGTGAGAGGTAGTTCTTCTTGTGCTAGAAAGAGAATTGTTATATCTTATATCCACCTCCTACATAAAGGTATTTATAGAACTTTAAAGGCTCTAATCCTAGTTTAGGTTAAGTTGCAATTATCTCATAATTACATATAACCCCTTTATTAACCATTAATTGTAATAAAATTCCTAATTAACTTTTAATTAGGTTTTCACCCTAATTAACTCTTAATTGGTTATCTCTCTTTTATCCTTTAGTTTCCAATTAATTTTATTATGTGTGACCCTATAGGTTCAAGCATACCCGGTTGAAGGCATTTGATACTAACTACAAGTAGCATCTTAAATTAGAACTCTTTCTAATTTAGCTTGAATTAAAACTCTACTAATTCTCCCTTTATGAAGAGAAATAATATATTTATATTAATTTCATTCTTCGGACTTCTACTAATTATTAGTGGCACCTAGCAGCATATCATGATCAATCTCCAGATAGCACGAAGTAGGTAAAGAACCTATTCAGTCTATAGTTGCCATGCAATTCAATCATTTTATCATGCAATGCCCCAATTGACGTACTAGAGTATAGAATTACTGTCACACCCCTAATTCAATCTTATGTGTTCGATCTTAGGACTATGACTTGTAATGATCAATTAGAAACTCTTTTCTAATTGTCATTCTGCCTTGACCAAGGACTCTTTAACTCATATCACAGAGAATCACATAGGACATTCTCCCTTTAATTACTAATTGTCGCACCCTAACTAACTTGGGTGCATAATGGCGGTTTTGGTGGCACCTTGAACCAAGGCACACCATGAGATTGAATCAAAGTGATGCGGCTAAGCGATTCGACAGATTGGTGCGGACTGTAGCAGCATAAGACCACCCGGCTGAGCATGACAACACGTAGTGGGCTCAATTGAGGCAATGTGAGTGCATAGCTTCGAATTGCATGGCATGGGCTGAACCCAACATGCACAATGGTTTGTGAGGCAAGGCTGGCTACTGAATTCAGGCACATGACTGACACATGGCTGCTCAATGCATATGACCAGGAGGATGTGGGCAATTACAAGCAATTGCTGAATAAGGCTTAGTCTGTGGGAAGCAATTCTGGGCGTTCCTAACTTGATTTTGGTCCAGATGCATGCTAATGAGGGGCAGTTCCACATCAGTTACTAAATGGGTGGAACTGCTTACTAGGTGTTGCATAGAGATCAAGGCTGCTGGCCAAGTTTGCTATGGAATAGCAGAATGTGTGTAACTATCCTTTGACTGATGGGTGTCATCTATCAATACTCTTTTTATAAATAGGAGTGCTTGGACATTCTGATAGTGAGAGTGTGTTCTGCCTTTGAGAGTTCCTTGTAAATTATTGAGTTCAATATATAAGGTTTGAGAGTGTTGTCCTATTAAATTTGTGTGTGCCTTCTGTATAAGTTTCTGTCCCTTGTTCTTGAGATTGTATGGCTAGTTGCAATAACAACGCCTTCATAGGTAGCCTCAAAACAAAAAACGAGTTGTTACCCTGTGACAGTTTGGTATCAGAGCGTTGGTTTTGGCAAAAAGATTAACTATGACTGGCGAAACGAATGCAGATCTGAGGGAAAGGGTGGCATGTTTGGAAGAGTTAGTTGGTCCTCCACAGTCCGATGATGTTGTGGCCCTTTCTGTGCAACTTGAGTTGCTGTATCAGCGGTTCGAAGAGATGCGTGTTGCACAAGAACAGCTTCAAAAAACTGAAAAACAAAGTCGTTGACGTGCTGGTTACGGTCTCCACATGGACCGATGATATGGGGGAACATTGAGTTCCCTAGAGACGAACGTTTCAGCGCTCAAGAAGGCATTGCAAAATGCTTCTTTGGCTTCTGGCAGTGAAAGCACTCAGAAAGCTAAGGTGCCTGACCCTAAGCCTTCACAAGCAGTCGTAACGCTAAAGAACTCGAGAACTTTCTGTGGGATATATGGAACTACTTTAAAGCAGTCCATACATCGGATGCTAAAAAGGTATATCTCACTAGCATGTACCTGTCAGGTGATGCTAAATTATGGTGGCGAACACAATCTAAGGACAAGTCTCGTCCTCCAATTACTACTTGGGAGTCTCTGTCTGCTGAAATGAAGGAGCAATTCCTTCTGAGCAACACAGCTTGGCCAGCCCGTGATGCATTGAGGAAACTTCGACATACAAGTACCGTGAGGGAGTACGTGAAACAATTCTTGTCTTTGATGCTTGATATCAAAAATATATCGGAGGAAGATAAGCTGTTTAATTTCATGTCTGGCCTTCAAACTTGGGCGCAGGTTGAACTTCGTCGGCAAGGGGTAAAGGACTTATCCGCTGCTATGTCCGCAGCAGATGCGTTGGTTGACTACAAGACGCACGCAAATCTTCCGAAGAAGGAATCAAAAGGGAAAGCCAAGTTCCCTAAGAAAGACAAGCAGAAGAAAAAGGCTAAGAAGTCTGGCAACGCAGAAAAACAGACCGACAAGCCCTCTTCATCAAAGGGAGGTGCTGACTCAGGCTGTTTTAATTGTAATGGCCCTCATCGTGCCAGAAATTGCCCCAAGAAGGAAAAGCTCAGTGTCCTTATGGCCAAGAAAATTGACTGTGCTGACGAACCAACACGAGTCAACCCATTACAACTCCTTAATGCAATTCATAAAGAGGAGACGGTGGCAAAGAGGGGGTTGATATTTGTGCAGATTTGCCTGAACAATGTGGCTGTCCAGGCAATGGTTGATACAGGTGCAACCCATAATTTTGTTTATGACCGCGAGGTGCAACGGCTTGGTCTGGCTTTGGTAAAAGACTCTAGCCAGATTGAGACCGTTAATTCAAAGGCAAAACCAGTAGGCGTTATTGCTAGAGAAATCCCTTTAAAAGTCGATGATTGGCAAGGACCGTGAGATTTTATGGTAGTCCCTCTTGATGATTTTCAGATAATCCTTGGACTGGAATTTCTTACGAAGGCAAAGGTGTCTGTTATGCCTCATTTGCATAGGATGTTCATGATAGACATACCTAGTCCCTGTTTTGTTCCCCTCACCAAGGTCAAGTCTTCGGGAGAAATGCTGTCTGCCTTGCAAGTAAAAGACGGCTTGCGGAGAGGAGAAGCAACATATTTGGCTGTTCTGTTTGAGGAAGAGGAGTCAAAAACAGTGCAAGTCCCTGAACCAGTGCAACAGTTGTTGGCTGAATTCAAGGATGTGGCACCCAAAGAATTACCAACAAGATTACCACTAAGGTGGGAGATTGATCATGCCATCAAGTTGATTCCAGGGGCAAAAATTCCTACCCAAGCTCCTTATCGAATGTCTCCATTAGAGTTGGTAGAGCTAAGGAGACAGCTTGGTGGTCTATTGAACATTGGGTTCATTAGACCTTCCAAAGCCCCCTATGGAGCCCCTGTTCTGTTTCAGAAAAAGAAGGATGGATCCTTACAGTTTTGTGTAGATTACAGAGCTCTCAACAAAGTTACTGTCAAAAATAACTATCCAGTGCCGCTTGTTGACGAATTGTTTGATAGACTGGGGAAGACAGTCTTTTTCACCAAGATGGACTTGCGGCTGGGAATATCATCAAGTCAGGATTACAGAAGGAGATAAGGCAAAGACCGCTTGTGTGACTAGGTACAATTCATTTTAGTCATGCCTTTCGGCTTAACAAATGCTCCTGCTATATTCTGTAACTTGATGACCAATGTATTCCGGGAATACTTGGACAACTTTATGGTTATTTATCTGGATGATATAGTTGTTTATAGCCAAAATCTTTGAGGAGCATGTTGAGCACCTTAAGTTGGCTTTGACAAAGTTGAGGGAAACACAGCTATATCTGAAACCGGAAAAATGTGAGTTTGCCTAAAAAAAAATTCTCATTCCTCGGGGATATTATTTTTGCGGGTGTGGTGAAGATGGACCCAAAGAAAGTTGAGGCCATTGCTGATTGGCCTATCCCTACTAAGGTTATAGAACTGAGATCTTTCCTTGGTTTGGCGAATTAATATCGAAAGTTCGTGAAGAATTATTCAAAGAAGGTGGCTGTGTTGACAGATCTTCTGAGGAAGGATAAGATATGAAACTGGTCTTACGAATGCCAGGAGGCATTCGATCGATTAAAGGCGGTGGTGACGACTAGCCCAATTTTATGGTTGCCTGACTTTGATTTGCCTTTTGAAGTCCATACAGATGCATCAGACTTTACTCTTGGAGGGGTGCTGGTGCAGAATGGGCATCCGGTAGCATTTGAAAGCAAAAAGCTGAACAATACTGAGAGACGGTATTTAGTACATGAGAAGGAGATGACAGCAGTCATTCACTGCATCAATGCATGGAGGCATTATCTGTTAGGGAAGCATTTCCTTGTGCTGATAGACAATGTGGCTATCAGCTGCTTCAATTCCATGAAAAAGCTGACACCAAAACAGGCAAGACAGCAAGCCTTTCTTGCTCAGTTCCATTTCATGTTGCAGTACAAGCCTGGCAGTGCAAATCAGGTTGTTGATGCCCTTAGTCGAATCCCAGTTGCTGATGGGGCGATGGCTGCACTTAGCTAGATTACTAGAGACATACTGCAAAGAATTCAGGACCAGACAAAAGATGATCCTGTGACCAGCTTACTGTTGAAGCAGGTTCATGAAGGGGTGACTCGGCGGTTTTGGGTAGAGGATGGTGTACTCTACGCCAAAGGAAGGAGACCCTATGTTCTAAAGTCAGACAGACTTCGACAGATATTGCTGAAAGAAGCTCATGATGCTCGATGGTCAGGGCATCCAGGGCAAGAACGGACCCTTGCCTTACTTGCGGAAAGTTATTATTGGCCTCGCATGAAAGCTGATGTTAAGCTTTATGTGCGCACTTGTCTTGTGTGACAGCAGGACAAAATAGAAAGGAGGAAGATAACGGGTACTTTGGAACCTCTCCCTATTCCAAGCAGACCTTGGGAGAGTGTTTCCATGGATTTCATCAATGTTTTGCCCAAGGTGAATGACTTTACTTCAATATTTGTGGTTGTAGACAGATTTTCGAAGTATGCTCTGCTGAAGTTACTGTTCAGTTGTTCCTCAAGCATATTGTGAAGCTTTGGGGTCTTCCGCTGGATATAGTTAGCGACAGAGACACTCGGATTACTGGCCAGTTCTGGACAGCCTTATTTGAACTATTGGGCACACAGCTCAACTTTTCCACCAGCAATCATCTGTAGACAGATAGGCAGACTGAGCGGGTTAATGCAATACTGGAGGAATATCTCAGACATTATGTCATAGCAAACCAGGACAATTGGGTGGATTTACTTGATGTAGCCCAATTCAGTTATTATTTGCAGCAAAGCTCTTCCACTGGAATGAGCCCATTCAAGTTGGCAACCGGCCAACAGCCTTTTACTCCCCATGAAGTTGCCAAGCAGAAGTCTCAAGGGAGATGTCTTGTAGCATACCGCTTCGCTTGGGCCAACCAAGAGAGGACTGACAAGGCAAAGAACTGCCTGACTAAGGCGGTGAAGAGGACGAAGAAGTGGGTAGATGAGAAAAGGAAAGCAGTAGAGTTTGAAGTAGGTGACAAATTGATGCTGAAACTGAACCCACCAATCTGGAAGAAGATCACTCGGAAGTCTGCACATAAGGGACTGATCCAGTGCTATGACGACCCTTTCCTTATCACAAGAAGGATTGGTAGGTTGGCGTATAGGCTGGATCTTCCCAATCGTCTCAAGCTTCATTCAGTTTTCCACGTTACCTTTTTAAAGCCATATGTTGAGGACCCAGAGGACCCTAGCAGATATATTGGGCGTTGGGCACCTCCAACAATCAAGAAGCAATTCACAGAGATAGGAGAAGCTATTCTTGCCACAAGACTGAAAGAATGAGTAAGAAAAATAGAAGAACTCATTACCTAGTTAAGTGGAAACGGAAAGCACCGAAAGAAGCCACTTGGTAAAAAGAGACGACATTGTGGCAGTTCAAGGATCTCATAAAGCAGTACCATGCCTCCATTCCAACGAGGTCGTTAGATACTTCAGGTGGGGGTGGCTTGTCACACCTTAACTGGCTTGGGTGCATAATGGCGATCTTGGTGGCACCTTGCACCAAGGCACGCCATGAGATTGAATCAAGGTGATGCGGCTAAGCGGTTCGACAGATTGGTGCAGACTGTGGCAGCATGAGATTACTCGACTGAGCAAGGCAGCATGTGGTGGGCTCAATTGAGGCAATGTGGGTGCATAACTTCGAATTGCATGGCATGGGCTGAACCCAACATGCACAATGGTTGGTGAGACAAGGCCGGCTACTGAATTCGGGCACATGACTGACATATGGCTGCTCAATGCATGTGACCAGGAGGATGTGAGCAGTTGCAAGCAATTGCTGAACAAGGCTTAGTCTGTGGGAAGCAATTCTGGGCGTTCCTAGCCTGATTCTGGTCTAGATACATGCTAATGAAGGGCAATTACATCAGTTACTAAATGGGTGGAACTGTCTGCCAGGTGTTGCACAGAGATCAAGCTTGTTGGCCAAGTTTGCTATGGAATAGCAGAATGTGTGTAACTACCCTTTGACAGATGGGGGTGTCATCTGTCATACTCTCTGTATAAATAAGAGTGGTTGGCCATTCTGATAGTGAGAGTATGTTCTGGCTTTGAGAGTTCCTTGTAAATTGTTGAGTTAAATATATAAGGTTTGGGAGTGCTGTCCCAATAAATTTGTGTGTGCCTTCTGTGTGAGTTTTTGTCTCTTGTTCCTGAGATTGTGTGGTTGGTTGCAATAGCAACGCCTTCATAGGTAGCCTCGAAACGAAAAATAAGTTGTTAACTCATGACACTAAGGATGACAAATTATATTTTGTACACTCATAAGTCTTCATGCATGCCTAACTATGTCCAACAATACATATCCAAGTTACATGATTAGTATATGAATAAGTTGTACAGTTAAAATATAGAAGTCTAAGCACAAGACAACTATGGTGTCTCAAGTCTAATATTCAGGTGCATAACTATAATTTTAAGATTTAACATTGACAGGTATGTAAAACTCCATATGAAAAATCCTACGTTAATTAACGGTTACATTCAGTATTCTTGTTCTCTAACAAACAACCACACACTTGTTCAGTGTTCCTACACTAGTGACTTGGACGAGTCATCTCATATTAAATATGAGTAAACATAGTATGTACTACTCTATCCGGATTATGTAGTACCCAAATAATAATCTTATGAATAGGAACATTTAAGTACTAAGAAGTATAGGTCTCTTTTTCTCAACACCTTGAGAAACTATCTTCCTAACTTATATTTTATGGACTATATCATGTATATTAAAATGAAATAAAGTACAAACATGATAAATAAACTTGCCCTTTTATTTAATTAAGTAATGAATGTTACTAGTACAACCCTAAAACATCGTTTATATGATTGGTCTCAGAACATACTACTAACAAAAATAACATCAAAGATATGCCGACACACAATCATCACCAAGAATATAGTAATTACGGGATACTCAGATAATACCTTCTATATCAAAAACAAGAAATTAGATTAGCTTCAATGCACCTAACGATGCATAATCACCAGACATTCAATCATTCACAAAGAACAGCAGCTACATTGGTAGACAAATACACATTTATAAAAAAAAAAGAGAAGAAAATTGTGATACGTAAGAGCATACCTGTTTAGCGACCAATTCGGGATAATTGTCCTGGAGCAATTGTAAGGCTTGTCTAGTGGCAATACTTAGCTCCCTCTTCCCAGGCCCTGGCGAATTCTTGAGATCACTAACCTGAAAGATAGTGCAAATTCCACCAGGACTGAAATCAAGCTTCCTAATACTTCTCTCCAAGAACTGAATCCGCCACCGCAGGAACTTCATTCTCTTTTCCTCATCAGCAAAAGTCTTATTATACAACTCCTTGTTCTGAAACTCCCCATAGACATTGTAACACACCGGGTGACCGTCCTTATCGAAACCATGCATAAAAACAACCTTTTCAAGATCATCACCTAAGTCCTCGTTGATTAGTTCATCAATGCCAAACTCTTTTCTCCAGCGAATAGTGTTCTTGAGCATCACAAAAGCATCTTTCACTTTGAAGTCTCTGGCTCTCAAGAACTTGAGCAAGATCACATCACTCCTATCATCTTTAAGAAGTGGCACACCCCAAATACAGATTTCTACGGGCAATGTTGTAGTCTCAGTATCTAACGTTTCCGGTTGTTTTTCTTTGGTACTCTGCAATTCCGTGGTGGGGGTTTCGCTATGTGTTGGTGGTGGAGCTTCTGCAGAGAGATTTGTGGGTTCAGCTGGAGTTTTTTGGGTTTGTAATGGCGGTGGGCTGGCAATTTGGTAGGTGTTGAGGGCTTCTTGAACTAGCTGCTTCAATTCATCAAGTGCCCTTTTCTCAAAACCAGAGAGATCTGCCGCTATGTTGCTCTCTTCTTTGAAAGAAACCAAAGACACAGGAATTTTCTTTGGTTCTGTTGATTTTTCTCTCTCTGATTCAATAACTTCATCACGGGTAGTTGAAGTTTTCACTGGCGGGTCTAATTCTGGCCCTAGAGGTGTCTCTTTTTTTGTCACGGAAACAGACACTGCCTCCGCCATCACTGGTGGTGTCGGAAGTGATGTCTCTTTCTCAGTTACCGAAACAGACTCCACCTCAGCCGCCACTGGTGGTGTTGGTAGGGGCACCGTCACTGGAGGTGGTGGTGGTGTGTCTTCCTGTGTCGGACTCTCTTTCTCCTTCTCGATGGGATCTGGGGTAGCTCGGTGTGGAGTTTCATCGGCCATTTCGGAGTGAGAGGCAGAACGGTAAATGGGAGGGACTGAGAGAGAGAATAAACTCCGAAGATAAGTGATAGTATCAAATAAATGGTTCCTGAGAGAGAGAGAGAGGGAGAGGAAGATTTGCTCTTTCGGGGCAAAACAGTCACGCGGTCATGATGTGTCGAGGTTAGAGGCTCGCACGATGCGGTGTTGATGTAGGAAGAGAACTGGTTGGAATCCTATGTATAAAGGTGCCAAATGGTAATTTGCATCCCTCTTAATTTTCTAATTTAAAAAAAAAAAAAATTAGGAAATATTACACAAACTTTTGATAACGTTGAAACGTACCTTAACAACGTCTAGAATTATGTTAGTGCACCCTCCATATTTAGGTTTTTTCCATTTTTAAAATTATGTGTTATTCTTGTTGGAACGACAGTCTAAAGATTTGTTGATAGTAGAATTAGAGTTTACGTTTGACAATCAAGGTAGTATGAACAAAGATAGATGTCAATCAAACAATCGGTTCGATAGATCTCATGATCTTCTATTATATATTCTTCTATGTCAAAATCTGAATGTAGTGTGGGTTGCAGTCTTTCGAATTTTCTGCTTTACTCTTTCTCTCTCTGTCTCTTCTAAATGTGAATGAATAGTCTATGACTAAGAGAACCAGCGAGTGTATTTATTTATAGGCTACAATACATACCCTTAAAAAAAAGAGTTGGGCTTTCAATGGGCTTAGGAATCCTATATCCAACTTAGGACAAACATCTTACGCTTTATTAATAATAAGTTAACACATTAAAAACTTATTATTGATCTTTCGGGTCTTATCTCAAAATTATATTTTGAGCTCCTTGTTATTATATGCTTAATAATCTTCTCATGTTTAAGATTACAAATGTCCATCAATTAATTAAATTACTAACAATTATACTTAATTAACTTCTTTTATTCTTGAGATCTCACCACTCAACTTATTTGTTATGTCATATAATTAAATTCACCTGTACGATTTGCTATGAACAAAACTTATGAGATTTCTCAAAAGGGAATCATCAACCCATTTAAATACGAGGACATGATTTCCTTTAATAATTAATTTTCATCATATAAAATGATGTCATCTTCCAATTCACAAAGATTGTTGACTCAAATGAATCTTGCTCTTTAATGAATTAAAGTAACAATCATTATATGCACGAGTTCATTAAATATCCCAGGATTAAGAGCTTAAGTAATTATAATAACCATGAGATATTTATTTTCTTATTTAGTTAATAAAAAGATAATAGCCTCAATAATAGTCATGTTCAATACTCAAAGTGTACTAGTGCAATAATCTGAAAAGTCAGACAGTCTCCTATAGCCCAGATAGACTATGTCAAAAGATTACACTGCAATCCTACTGATGATGTGTCAAATATCATTTATGATTGTGAACTTTTACTCATACCATACATTTATCCGATAATCTGATCTTCTGTGTATGAGCCAAACTCACACCAAATTATCTATAATGTAAAATAAAAGACACACATGAATAACATGTATTTAATATAATGCATACATTATATCCATACAGACTCTCAATAGAAAATGAGGAACTTTTATTAAATAATAAACTGAGTTTTCCTATAAATAATAAGCTTTTAGTATATAACTCTATTAATTCATGCGTCTAGATAATTGATTAGACCTAAATAATGAGTAAATGAATTAGGTTTTAAGGTTCATTATGTGCATGAATTAGGTTAAAGTGATTAAGTTATAAAGTATTAGGGTTAATGTGTAATTTGTGTATTTTTGTAGGGTTTCAAGCTGAAATATAAAAATTCAGGAGGATTAAAGTGTAAGGGCTAAATGTAGAAGAGGAGGCAAGTGCAATTACCAAGTTAACAAGGAGGCTACCAAAGCTAAAAATACCAAAGAAATGCTATTGTCCGGACGATGGTGATGGCATTCAGACGGTGCTCCAACTGCCTTAAGTCTCTTTCCCCTCTCATTGGTCCATTTTAGCAACAAGATGATATGATTGGATGGTCTGGGTGTATACTGCCTTACAGTTTCCTATCAGTGCCTATAAATAGCCCTTTTCAGCTCATTTTTCAGGGAATGTCAGGAGAGTTCAGTCCAGTGAAAGAAAGAAGAAAGGAGAGAAAGAAAGGAAGAGCAAAGCCCTACCTGCATCACTTCTCAGTCAAAAAATCTCTCTACTTTTACATTTCTATTTTTCTTTTCTACTTGGAGGGTTGAACTTCTCCCACTTTTGTGCCCTACCTAGTAATATGACAGTTTTTCAGCTATTTCTCAGGGAAGGACGTGTTATATTTTTTTTTTTTTTTTTGCAGTTGTAATGAGATTATCTCACTCCCTTTACTCATCTATAGTAATGATGCGTGAGTAGTCCGTTTATATTCTTCGGTGAAGGGTGAATGCATGTGTAATACTGTTTAAGTTATGGAAATGTCGATATTTTATTTATGCGTTAATGTTTAGACCTTCCTTAATTGATGAATGGTTACATTTATAATTTGCTAATGGTAATGAACACCGATAAAAGCCTATTGATATATACCATTATATCTATTATTATTACGTATGTCAAGTATGATACGGTGATGCACGTAGTTGGGCTTTATGTATCAATTGAGAGATTAGTTATAGACGAGTTAAATCTCGTCATAGCCAATATTTTTGATTCAATGCATAAACCGAACTCCATCATCATTGAACCATCAACCTGCTAATTAAATAGTTAGAGTAAACCTTTTGAATGAACCATCTTCAGATTTATTAGGGTTATTTGATTGATGCATAGTACATAGACCTTCTAGCTAACCTAACCAGTTGTTGTGTTATGTTTCAATATATATCAAACCTATCAGTTGACTTTTCAGTAAAATGGGAGTTAATTGTGGTAAGGTGGCATTTTCATAAATAAACTGTATAACACATGTTGGATTCTTGCACTGAAGAGTATCTTTTTATTAGTGTTTTTCAAAGTTTTAATTGCGTGTTTATTTGACAATTCTATGCTCACACCACAAGTTGTTACATTACACATTACATACATGACAATTTTAACGTTTTTGTTTTGAATACAGACAATTAGCTCCCTATAGGTTCGACCTCGGGCTTAACCAAGAAATATTGTAATTTGACCACTTATACTTTGGTGTATGACATAAATCAGGTCAGATCAAGCTTTTTGGCGTTGTTGCTGGAGAGGTTACGGTAATTTCAAACAAACAGGGAAGTTGTCTAGATTGTATTATATGTGTATACAGTGTTTGTTGTATTTTCATTATTTATGTCTATTAAGTCATCAATAGGGTCTGTAAATTAATCTAGTCCTTCATCATCTTCCTCATCGTCACAAGCATCTTTCGACTCTTGAGTTAAGCATGACTAATAATAATCAAAGGGATCAAGAGGTAGTTCAGAATGTCCAACCTTTAAGAGAATACTTGCATATCACACGCATTAGTGTCCTGTCATGTTTTGCTTTTCTTACTAATGCTCCAAATTTTATCAATAAGGTAGGGACAATACAACTTTTACCACAATTTCGTGGTCTTCAGTTTGAAAACCCTTATTTGCATATGAAAGAATTTGAGGAAGTATGTGGTGTTTTGCAAGATAATTCTAAAATGGTCCGATTAAAACTTTTTCCTTTCTCTTTAAAAGATAAGGCTAAAAAGTAGCTAAATTCTTTAAAAGCTCAATCTATTCTGAGTTGGCAAGTTTTGCAAATCGATTGTTTTAAGAAATTTTTTTCATGTGCACTGCATTAATGCATTGAGACGTCAAATCACGAATTTTTTTGTGAAAGAAGGAGAAATTTTTTATTAATGTTGGGAGAGATTTAAGGATGTTCTCCAAGCTTGCCACATCATGCATTTGAAAGTTGAACTATAGTTTGTTTCTTTTATGATGCCCTCACGTCGGCACTGCGTCAATTTGTTAAAATGATGGCCTACGGGGAATTCATGGGTAAGAGTCCCGATGAGGCATTTGAGTTTTTTTTATACCATTTCTGAGAGTTCCCAAATATGGGATTCGACTTCACCAAATATTGTCGAAACCTAGTCATCTTCATCCCCAGGAGGGAAATAGATGTTGAAAGAGGATGATGACCTAAGGGCCAGAATGACTACTTTGTCCCGAAAGCTTGAAGCCCCAGAAATGAAAAAAATCAAGGAAGTTTTTGTCGTGTCTCCTATTGAGCAATCATGTGGAATATATGTGCACTGTTAGGACATCCTACGGGGGAATGTCCCACCATTCTAGCATCCAAAGAGGTCTTGAAGGAACAAACCAATGTCATTTAAAATTTTAACAAGCCTTATTCCAACCCCTATTTTGAAACCTATAATCCAGGGAGGCAGAATCACTTGAATTTCAGTTGGAAAAACACATCCTATGAGTCATCCAACAGATCCACCTTCTTCATAACTCCAAGCTCAGTAGCCATATCAGCCTTATCAACCCCTCAAAAAAGAGGAGTTTAGAGGACACTATAAACCAGTTCATTCAAAGTCAAATGAGTATCAATACTCAGGCTACTCATGCATTTAATGATTTCAAATAATCAGGCTACTCATACACAAATCCCTATTATTTTAGGGTGACCATTCCTAACTACATTAAATGCATTGATTAATTGTAGTAATGGAATCATGAAACTTTCATTTGGAAACATGACTTAGGAATTGAATGTCTTTGATATTACTAAGTAGCCTAGAGAGGATGAAGAATTGCATGAAGTAAATTGTATTGAGTCATTAACTCAATATCTGTTTCAAAATGAATGTACAAAGAAAGAGTCACATGCATTAGAGTCTGTCCAAAATGATGAGTCTGTAGATATGTCAACCATTGCAACATGGAGTCCTAAGTTTGAAGAGTTATTGCCTTTTGAAACTAAGTCTGTAGAGCCCAATGCTGTAGTTATCAAACTAGAGTTGAAACTTCTTTCAGCTGACTTGAAATATGTCTTCTTAGGGGAGGATGAAACT